ATGAACTCGGAGGGCATTATGCTAAGTGAAATAAGTCAGACAAACACTGAAATGTTATCACTTATATGTGCAATCTAAAAAAATATAACAAACTAACGAATAAAACAAGAGAGGCAGATTCACAGATACAGAGAACAAACTAGTGGTTACCAGTAGGGAGGGAAGGGAGGAAGAATATATGGATGCTAAGAGTGAGAGGTACAAACTATTGAGTATAAGACAGACTCAAGGATGTATTGTGTAACACAGGGAATATAGCCAATATTTCATAATTATAAATGGGAAATAACCTTTAAAAATTGCATAAACATTAAAAAATGCCCAAAAAGTCACTGTAAATATATAACATTAAAAAAAAAAAGCATGGAACTGGAGCCAGACTGTCTGGTACTCTCCCTTTACCTTCTATGCCTCAGTTTCTGTGTCAATAAAATCTGGAACACATTTCTTGTCTTCTAATTTGCCTTTGTCACAGAGTCACTAAGAAATTTCAGACTGAGGGACTTTCTCGATGGTTCAGCAGTTAGGACATCCTCTTCCAATGCAGGGGGTGCAGGTTCAATCCTTGCTTGGGGAATTAAGATTCCTCATACCTCATAGCCAAAATCAACAAAATGAAATAAAACAGAAGCAGTACTGTAACAAATCAATAGGCTTTAAAAATGGTCCATATCATAAAAATCTTTTTTAAAAAGTTTCAGATTGAAGTGAGCCCAGTGCATGGTGAGGACTGAGTTATCAATATCCTAACAGATAGAGGATCTTACCAGACATTGAACTGGTGCCTTGGCAGTGAGAGAGTGGATTCCTAATCGCTGGACCACATACGGTTCTTCTAGATTAAGAGAAGGAATTCTAGATCATCGTTCTCTTAATCTAGAAGAACCCTATGCTTTTTTTTTTTTCCAAGGACAGACTTTGAAGAACCAGACCAGCTGACTTAACAAATGTCTACCATTCTGGATTTGCCAGTTTCCTCATGCATGTGCACCATTCTGAAAAATATATAACACATTTATTGTCTTCAGATTTGCACGTCTCCACCTCTCATCTTTTCATTTCAGCTAGTATCTCTTCCATGTCTTCTTGTTCCAGCCACAGCCTTAATCTCTTCATCCATCCAATCCCTCCCAATGAGGAGGAGGGGGCAGGGAGTGTGCAAACCAGTATGGAGGGATCAGCATTTCCTTTAAAGCCTGTATGACAAGTCTGTTCTGCATTGTATATGACCCTCTAGTAAGCCCACTTACCAGTTCCTCTTTCCTCTTATTTTTGGGGGTTTCTGAGGAATACGTATACTTTCCACAAATCTGTGCTGATAGTCACTTCTCAGCCAGCCTCCTGCCCCAGGAAATTCTGCCAATGACCTCTTGCCATCCTATATGTGGCTTCTCTAAGAAGCTACTTAACCTCTGTGCTGTCCCAGGAACCCAGCTCTTTTCTCACCACAACCAAGGATAAAGATTTTAAGTCAGATATAGGGTAGTGGTGGTATATTAGGAAAGGGAACAGGTGGAATGAAACAAAGTGGAAAATGTCAGAGAGCATATGGAAAAGAAAGTGACCAGCAGTTAAGAAAAGCAGGCAGAAGAGCATTTTAAGGGGTTAGACCTGATGAGATGGTGTAAGAAACGGAGTCTATGTTAAATAATAGCTACTTTAGATGCTGTGGAGTCATTCCAGCTGAAATAAAAAAAGAGATGGCTTCAGGACTGGCAGAAAAAGGATAAAGTGAAAGGAATTTGGGAAACGGCAAGTTAACTTTTACTGATGAGAAAGCAACCTTCTGAGAAACAGCAAAGTATTAAAAACACAAATTGCCTGGCCAACCACAACCGCTTGAGGGCGTTGCAAGCTTCATGACTAAACCAAAAATCTGTCCCCGTAGCTCCCTCTTCTGGCAGATAATCACTACACACTAAGGCTGATATCACTGAATTAAAAAGCACTTGCCAATCTCTAAACATACCTCTGTGAGAACCATATTTGTAATAATGCGACAAGGATTTTGCTGTGCTTTCAGACAAAAAAGGAATACTAAAAAATATAAGCCACACATTTTTCTTCTGGTTTATTCAACATTCACATGATCCCATCTATGTAACTGAATCCTTACATAGTATTAACTCATGTGAAACCAAACATTGGGGTACCTTCAGATTTAGCGATCATTCAACTTTCAGAAACTCAAGAAGTCTAACATTTCTGTTCTTTAACTAGAGACTAGATCCCTTGATATTAGAAATGCTCATTCATCACCTTATCATTATTGTTCTCGACAAGCTTGTATTTGTTGGAGGGTCCTGTAAATATTCACTAGGGATTGTGTTGCTCTCGTGGTCTTTGAGAAAATGACATGTAAAGTGTCTTTTTCCTTTATACAGAATGAAAGGATATAAGAGCTTTATCAAACTATAAAAAATATAAAGTTAAAAAGCATGGTGCAAGAGACTGCAAACCAGTGTAACTAGTTTATACCTTTTGTGTAAAGTAGTAGTTGCTTGCTGTACATGCATAGGGAAACGCTGAAAAGTATATACATACTAGGGCAGGTGGAGAACTGGGAGAAAAAAAATGGAAAATATTTCACTATATACTGTTTATATATCTAAAACACATGCAAGTATTACTCAAAAAAGTAAGAAAACATCATGACAATAGCATTTATAAAACTGTTTTGACTTTTAAATTATCACCAAGAACATCATTAAATAGGAACCTTGTTTTTATACTATCCAAATATTAGTATATGAAAAATACATGTATAAGGATGTACTTCACCAGCATCTTAACAGCAAAAACCTAGAAACAAATGTTGGTGGACAGGTTAAGTAAATCATAGGGCATCTATACAATTGAATGCTAGAATATTAAATAGAATGACAGCAATCTTGACATGCTGTCACAGAAAGACATCAATTGCCTAGTCAAAAAAAAAAAAAAGCTGAGAAACACTGTGAATGGTCCTACTTGTATTTGTATGTATGTATATGCACATATGTACTTACTGCACAGGAGTCCAAAATACCACCAAACTAATTTTAGTTATCCCCAGACTTCCCTGACAGTCCAGTGGTTAAGATTCTGGGCTTCCACTGCAGGGGGCACAGGCTCAAACCCTAGTTGAGAAACAAAGATTCCCACATGCCAGAGTGGCCAAAAAAAATGTCGTAACTGGTAAGATGTAGCTAACTAGTCAAGAATCCAACTGCCAACACAGGAGACACTGATGCCCTGGAGTAGGAAACAACCCACACCAATGTTCTTGCCTGGGAAGTTGCATAAGGGACTGGTAAGCTTCAGTCCATGGGGGTGCAGAGTCTGACATGACTGAGCACTGAGCACACACACTTAGGGATTTACGAGGGCTACCTCTGACTTTGTAAAACACAATGTGTGCAAACATTTTAACTATAAACAGTAAGAGGCAAATATACTAATTCCACCGCCCCTCCCCCCCATAAGCTTATATGGAACTTTCAATTTCTACATCAATTTTAATGTTTGTACTAACCTGTACTTGTTTTTCAAAACTTTTCAAGTATTTACATTTGTGATTAGCAATTTCATTAAACTTGACAGGAAGGAGCCACGTGTTCTTCCATGACTTCTCCAGTAAGCATCCCCACCCTGCAATACCCACATAGCTTTATTAGACTTACGCTTTATTGCTCCAGAGCCAAGACCCTTCCAACTGCAGTGCACACGTGTCCCGGTGAAATGACCCAGCCTCACCTTCTTGAGTGCTAACTAGACTTTGACACATTCATACTTGAAGACAAAGAACTCATCATTTGATGACACTGATGGAGGAATCATGCAAAATCTGTCAAACAGAATGGCCATTTTCAAGATACTATTGTTTTTCCCCTATTTATGACCACTCATTTTCAATGAGCAACACAATTACTTATAAAAAAACTATTCACATAGTTATTAGATGTGGTTACAGGTCTATTCACATATTGACCAGATTCACATAGTGACTAGATGTGTGAAGTTCCACATATTCTTATAATGTTGCTTCTTGACCTATATATTCACTTCTATGGGTGAATCATGAAAATCCAATGAAATATACAGGCATTCGTAAAAATGAAGTGAAAAACGACAAGTAATGAATTTGCCTAAGATTTACCAATTTACCAAACGGCATTTCTTGTCCCCTTACACCTAGGCCTTACTTAGCTATTTCAGTAACACAAATTTTTCTCTGCACAGATGCTACATGTAGATACCCTAAATATGGGAGAGTGGAAGGGAGAAATTGGAGTCAATTTGTTCTTTGGAGGAAACCATCTCTTAAACTCCTTCAATGTGTCAGATTTCAGCAGTGCCTACCACCAGCTCCTTACTACTTTCAAAAACCTTTGGCTCTCGTTATGACTTAAAAAGCATACCAATAGCACCTGATTTGGTAAATGTCACTACTATAAAACACCAGGAGCCAACTGCTTCACCCACAATTAAGCTGTATATAAATTCTTCATATAGTCATATAAAATTAAAGAATCTTGACAACTTTACCACAACAAAAATGACAGTAGCTTTAATTACTAAATCCCAAACTTTCCAGCATGAAATCTAATAAGACTATGCCACATCTTTCTCAAAAATCTGGTAAAACAATTTTCTATGCACCTCAACCTGAACTTGCAACTATGTACTAAAGGTGATTTTTCTGCAGGCTCTCTTCCACCATTCCCACCCTTTTTAATACCACCTCCCTGCTGGTGTTTCAGAAACTTTTCAACTCTTAAGCACAACTGCCAAACTCAGTGCTTTTAAAATCAGTAGTGTATAAGTAAATCTACATATGAGTGTACATATGGAGAATTCTAACCACAACCTCAAAATTTTGTTTTCATTTATACTCACCCACTACAGTTCTAATTAAGGCCCTCTTTTCTTGACATTTGTTACCTTCAGGTTACTACTAAACACCTGGTAGAACAAAACCCTTGAACTCTCACCCACCCCTAAATAAATAAATTACACTATTTGGGAATGCAACAACTTTATTGAAAGAAAAGTGCAATGTAACTTATCGAAAGCTTAAAAGGGAGAACTTAAAACACCTCCCCTCAAGCGCAGGACCAAGTGCAGAGTGGACTCTTTCTGGATGTTGTAGTCAGACAGGGTACGCCCATCTTCCAGCTGTTTCCCCGCAAAGATCAACCTCTGCTGGTCTGGGGGGATGCCCTCTTTGTCTTGGATCTTGGCCTTGACATTCTCGATGGTGTCACTGGGCTCCACCTCCAGGGTGATGGTCTTACCAGTCAGGGTCTTCACGAAGATCTGCATCCCACCTCTGAGGCGGAGGACCAGGTGCAGAGTGGACTCTTTCTGGATGTTGTAGTCAGACAGGGTGCGCCCATCTTCCAGCTGTTTCCCCGCAAAGATCAACCTCTGCTGGTCTGGGGGGATGCCCTCTTTGTCTTGGATCTTGGCCTTGACATTCTCGATGGTGTCACTGGGCTCCACCTCCAGGGTGATGGTCTTACCGGTCAGGGTCTTCACGAAGATCTGCATCCCACCTCTGAGGCGGAGGACCAGGTGCAGAGTGGACTCTTTCTGGATGTTGTAGTCAGACAGGGTGCGCCCATCTTCCAGCTGTTTCCCCGCAAAGATCAACCTCTGCTGGTCTGGGGGGATGCCTTCTTTTTCTTGTATCTTCCCCTTGACATTCTCGATGGTGTCACTGGGCTCCACCTCCAGAGTGATGGTTTTACCAGTGAGGGTCTTTACAAAGATCTGCATTGTCTGTTGGAACAAAAAAATAACACAAAAAAGAACCCCAGCATTTAGCAGTTAATTCACGGCTCAACCAACGCTTAATGTTAAAAACTTCACTATGTACTAGCCAAACAACTAACTTGCCCAACAACTCACAAGCTTGACAAGCTCAAAAACACAATTTCAGGTACTTAAGAGTGAAAAGCAGGGAAGCCTGACCCAAATCAACTCACGGGCCTCACTTATCCTCCCCCCTCACTGGATGTCTGTCCTTTGTCAACACTGCAGCGTCCACCCCAGGCCCAAACTCTGTGTCCCAAAAGGAGTAAACACCTCCCCACATACATGCCGGGAGATGGCCCCACCCTAGATTATGAGCCCACACAAGAGCTGACGTCTCCTAACTGCGGTGGCCGACGCGTCCCCGCCCCCATCGCCGGCGTAGGACGGCTCAGTAGCCTCTGCAGTTAGTAGCCCCCGAAAAACAAGAAAGCTTGTACTGCTGCAGCCCACAGGGTTGCAAAGAGTCGGACAAGACTGAGCGACTAAACACCACTACCACTGCGACGGGAAATCGAGTAGTCGCACCTGTCAAACAGTGACCTAACATTCGACTCCCTCACACGCTACCCAACCCTCGTCCCATAGAAAGCTGGACCTGCCGCCACGGAGACCTCACGGGCCTCTCGCGTTCACTTTACATTCACAGTCCCCTCCCTACTCCCCATCCTCGCGTCCCACCTCAGAACCAGCCTCAGAGCCTGCCTTCTCCCACTGAGGGAATCGGGAACGGCCGCCATTTTGCCGCGTTCCTACGCCTCAGGGCCACCCTACTGCTCGCGCGCCCGGGGGAATTGTAGGCCCCGGATGCCCCTCGGCCCGCGGTGGGCCGGCGAACCACCCGCGCCCCCAGCAGCTGCAACACCCCCGGGATCCCTCCTCACCAATTGGTGGTGGTGACAGCACCGAACACAGAAGAACGAAACCTGAACTCCCAGTCCGGATGGAACTGCCTGCGCCACACCCGGCGCTTCCTTATATATTCATGGGTAGCCCCGCCCCGGGGGATTCTTCCGCAAAAAGCCGGGAAGGGACTACTTTTCGCAGGCCTCCCACCCTCTAAAGAGAAAAGCAGTCCCCCAGAATCGACTCATTCTCCACCTAAGGTGCTCTCTTATAAAGACTGGGGCTTTGGGGCCGATTCTTCTGGGGAGCGGGCGGCCGTCCTGAGCGACCGGCCGTCCGGAGCGGCCGAGCGGAGGGATCAGCGCTTTCGTTGAACAGTAGACAGCGGAAGCAGCCATCGCTCTACTTGCCCGGAAGGCGGGGGGGGGGGAGCTGCAGGTGCGAAAACGTGGCACGGATTTCTCTGGGCGTCCGGAATGGGCTGTCCAGCCAACCGACCCTGTTGCCCCCTCCCCTCAGCCCGGACGAGCCCCGCCGTTCGCGAGACCCGCCCTAGGCGGAGAGTGCTTCGGTCTAGCGCCTCACGCCGAGCCAGAGTCCGGGTCCCCAGGCGCGCACGCCTCCCTGCCCCTCCCCCCACCTCGCGAATAAAGAGGGGTCTTTATTCTGGGTCTACTTTAGATAACGACAGTAATTCCCTAACCACTTTATCTTCAGCCCGTTGGGAGGCCTCCCCGGGGGTCCAGCCCCCAACCTGTGGCGGTCGAGCCCGTCCCCCACCGGGCGGGCACCGGGACAAGGTGAATGACTCGGCAAATATCAGGGCTACGGTCTAAAGCCCGTCTCAGACAGGTCGTCAGAACCCTCAGGAATTCCTCCGAACAGGAATGAAAAATAAGTTTCCAAGGGAGAAATCCCTATAGCAGGTGTACATTGAATTTTGAAAAGAAAAGCAGAAATTCCACACAGCCGTGTAAAACTCTTTGAGCTGGACGTGGAAGCTGATAGAACTTTCCAGATTGCTCTTTAGGCTTCCTGGTTTGTGCTTGATTTGTAATCAGGGAGGCATCAGAATTTGAATTCTGTTGATATTTACCTGAGCTCAGAAATCAGAAATCAAACCTGTTTAAGCCCAAGGTTTTAAAAAGATACTAATTGAATCTAAGTTCTGTTTATTCCTGGGGGTGAACTATCCCAAACATAAAACTTAATTAATATAGGCAAATTTCATTTGGGTAAAAGAAGAAATATTACCAGTTAGATCTTTCTTATTTTTTATGACAATGTATTTTGTGATTGATCTCTATGTCATTTCTCCAGCAGATTTTTTAAAGTATTGAAACCATATGAATCCGATGAAACCTTAAAATATTTTAACATGTTGACGTGACATTTACAGTGAAAAATCCCTCATGTCTGCAATTCCCCGGCTACTGTTCTTTCTGGACTCTTCTAGAATATTTCCTATTTCTATAAATGAGAGGAGGGTGTTTTTAAGTTTTTACTGGTAAAGCCTTTAAAAATATATGTATATAGAAAAAGAGGCAACCAACTAAGAAATATTCTGCCGTTAGGAAAAGACTACATTCCTGCTTGAGATTATGAACATTATATAATTTAAAGATTATACATAAAATGTGAATAAAAACAAAACTGGTATATATTTTCTTTGGTAACCCGTGTATATATGTAGTTATGAAAAAGATCCAAGCAGTTTTCTAAACAGCCTTTAACCTCTGTCAATTTTAAACATTTTTCAGAATGAGTTTATTACTGGGAAGTTAAAATTAATAATAAAAATAAAATGTCACTTTTCATGTTAGTAGACCCTATGTGATTGGGACTAATCACATAGGGTAAAGAAAAGGGAGATCCTTATAAATTAAGGAGTCTTTCACTCAAGAAAGCAGCTTTACTTAACCACAAAAGCAAGCAGGCTTGCTCAGCAATAAAACCATGCAACAGAAGCATCAGGCAGGCCCCCAAACCAATGAAACAATGGTAGAATGAGACCCACATCCTGCCCACTGAGCTCAATAACTTATTGATTCCTCGGACATGCTCCTCTGGGCACACTAAAAAATAAAAAGAAAGGGTGACATTATACTGAAACCTGACTTGATTTACCATGTTTAGTATATGTTACCACCGTTTTGCTCATCTCTATCATGCCATGACCATCCTGACTCGACCAGGTAGGGATAAGAAAACTACCCTGCCCAATATGGAGGAGGAACTGGTGATGGAAGCTTAATGTCTACTTGAGAATGAAGAAGGCGCACTATGGAAAACAGTGTGGAGATTTCTTAAAAAACTGGAAATAGAACTGCCATATGACCCAGCAATACCACTTCTGGGCATACACACCGAGGAAACCAGATCTGAAAGAGACACGTGCACCCCAATGTTCATCGCACCAACCCAGGTTGGATGCATGAGACAAGTGCTCGGGGCTGGTGCACTCGGAAGACCCAGAGGGATCGTGTGGGGAGGTAGGTGGGAGAGGGGACCGGGATGGGGAATACATGTAACTCCGTGGCTGATTCATGTCGATGTATGACAAAACCCACTGAAATGTTGTGAAGTAATTAGCCTCCAACTAATAAAAATAAATGAAAAAAAGAGAGAATGAAGAAGGTGGTCTCCCCCCCTCCCCAATTTTCTTTTGATTATAAACTGTAGCCCACTAAGTACCTGGTGCGCAGCACCCTCTCACCCTCCCGCTTGTAAACCTTACAATCATCTTAGTCTAATAAATCACTTTTTATTTATCACTTTGCCTCTTACCAAATTTTTTCTGTACTGAAACTTACCGAACTGGAGCTCTTTGGAGCCCCTTCTCCCTGCAAACCACATTTCTGTGGTTTCACAGTGACTTCTAATACAGATTTCTGTGAAAGTTATTTCCAAATTTTTGGAAAGGAGATTTAAAGGGACAGAACATTGAGGCTCTAAGTTTTTGGTTTCCCCCTGCTCCCTAAACTTCAGAAAGAGATTTACAGGGGAACAAAAAGGTGAGGTTCTTTCTCAGATGACCAGGCCTGGCTTCAAACCACACCCTGTTTGCTTTTGGCTTGCTGCAAGCCTTGTGATTCAAGCTGTTTAAAGCCTGAGTCACAAGCTTTGTGAGATAGTTTTTTTTCAGAATCCAAAAGGTACAGAGAAAAACAGGCCTGATTTCAGAGACATGGGAGGAAAGAAAGATAAAGAGGAGGGAGAAGAGAGGCTCAAAGGAGGGAGAGGGGAGGGGGGAATGGGCCAGGGGTTATCTCCGAAGAGAAAGCTATATTCTTAGGAACTGAAAACACTGATGTTATCTCTATCAGAAGAGTTCTCTGCAATACCCTTGCCCTCTCTAATTTAAGTCTAATTGTGGGTTTGGTTGAAACAAATAGAAATAAAAATTTGCCCAAGGTCTAGCCCTGAGGTGAGAGGGAGGGGAGAGAAAAATGACCTCTCCAAAGACAGGTGGCTGCTGTTTCTCCAGAGCGTTAGTTTTCAATCATGAGAGATTTGGCCCCTGGGTGGTCATTTGACAATGTCTAGAGACTTTTTTTTTTTTCCGGCTCAGCACTAGGCTTGTAGCATCTCAGTTCCCCAACCAGGGATTGAAACCAGGCCACAGCAGTGAAAGCACAAGTTCTAACCACTGGACTTCCAGGGAATTCTCGGGAGCCATTTTTGGTGGTCACACTATGGTATTGGAGTTGAGGGGTGCCACTGGTATCTAGTGAGGAAGGCCAGGGATGCTGCTAAACAATCTGCAGTGATCATTCCCCAACAATACAGAGTTAACCTGGCCCCCGACCTCAGTAATCCACAGTGTTGACAAACCTTGCTCCACGGAGGATTATTGTTGTTGTTACAACTGCTTTTCTATTTGCTGAAAAGAGCTCCCAAAATCTAAATGTCCCACTTGGATTCAGTAATCCAAGTCACGCTCCTAAAATCCCCTGACCTAGAATGCAATGTGCTAGAACATGCCAGAAGTAGGATGAGTCACTGGATCCATTTTCAGTTTCTTCCACCCACTTATCCATCCTTTGCAGGCACCCCAGAAAGGATTGCCTCAGAGCTGGCACCAGTGGAAGAGTGACAGAGGCCCAGCAACAAGGCAGAATTGGCAGGCAGGCATGAGCATGTGATGAGCTGAGCTCACAAAGGGCCTGGATGTTGGGCTGCAGGAGATTGGACTGGTGCCTGTTTGTCCGCCTGCCTTTCCTCCTTCCCCCAGCAGATTCAGTTCCCCTTGAAGGTCACAACATTGTATGGAACTTAACATCATGAGAATGTCCACAAAATGACCAACAAACATTTTCCTCCCAAGAGAGAGGGTGAAATTGGAGAGCTGGATGGGAAAGTTTTGCCTTGCAATGTCATCTGTTATATAACCATAAAAGGAAGTCAAGGAAACCTACTGCTTGGGGAAAAAAAAAGAAGAGGCCCTAGAGACTCTGTTCCATTCGCTGCATACATGTGTGTATTTGCATTGTGTGGCAGAAAACAAACTTGTCCAGCTTCAAAACAACCCATTTCATAATCTACCAGTGAGCAAATCATACTGAAGTTCTAGTCCCCAATTTTGCCTAGTATAGGAATGTTAAGCAGTTAACTTATTGGGTCTTTGCTTTGTTTTGTGTTTTAATTTATTGTTTTTAGATTGTGGCAAAATACACACAAAATATATCCTTTTAACCACTTTTAAGTGTACAAGTCAGTAGTGTTAAGTATATTGTAAGGAAGGAAAAATTATTTTCCTTTTACCCTTCTGAGTTCTTAGCCAAAACACCTGTAATGAAAGATTAGTAAGAGATATTAAAGACAAAAAACAATAGTTTATTAACATGCACACTTTGTGTATGTCAGGGACATACTCCAGAGGGAAAATGTGTCACTCAGAGAGGAGACTTTAGAATTTAGGCTTACATACCATTTTAACAGGCTTCCTAGGTGTCTCAGATGGTAAAGAATCTGCCAGCAGTGCTGGAGACCGGAGTTTGATCCCTGGGTCAGGAGGATCACCTGGAGAAGGCAGTGACAACCCATCAGTATCCTTGCCTGGAGAATTCCATGGGGTCCCAAAGCAACTAACACACACATCATCTTAATATAGCAAGGTCTCTTAAGGGAGAGTAAATGATTTTTACTGGGAGAACAGAAGAATAGATAGAGATATGATAGTTTGTGACAAAGTTCAGTGTCATTTTAGTCTCTCCTATGTCAAAAGCCAATCTTCTCTGGTTAGTTAAACTCTTGGGAAGAGTTCCTTTTGAAGGATCTGTGTTTGGGCAAATAAGTGGAGTTCAGTGAAAACCTCGCTTTGCTGTTTTTCAAGTGCCAATAGCTCAAAATAATATCAAAGGAACACATTTTCCGGTGGTATATTCTGCTACCCTTCATTTTCAGTTCATGTGCAACCATCACCACCATCTGTCACCACTCTTCATCTTGCAAGACTGAAACTCTGTACTCATTAAACACTCACCCTAATCCTTCACACTCAATCCTTGGCCACCATCATTCCTTCTGTCTCTATGAATTTGGCTAGTTTTTTGTTTGTTTTTTACTCCTGGCAGAGCTGTATGCAGAGATGTTAGTTCCCTGACCAGATATGAAACCCCTGCCCCCTGCAGTGGAAGGATGGAGTCTTACCCAGAAGACCATAAGGGCAGTCCCATGAATGTGACTACTCTTGGTACCTCATACAAAGGGCTTTGATTTTTTTTTTTAAATTGTGAAACCAGATCTAATGATTGGAAAACATTTTTTTCCCCAAATATTCAAGACATCTTTTCTAGAAAGCTCCATTTCCTAGTGCAAGCTTTGTTCTTTCTTCCTTATGGTGTTTTTTCTTTATCATTGTGCCATTAGAACTATTTAATCATAAGATACACAGTAAAACAGAAGCATATGATTCATTTCATGTGAGGTCTGATAACTTTAAAAATAATCTCAACTTTTTTTTTTCTCTTAAAACCTTGTTGACATTTAGGGAGAAATAACCTTCCTGGAATTTCCTTACAAATAGAAGCTGTCACCGGTATTTCACTCCCCAACTGGTGAGTCATTTCATGAATTTCAGTTTCATCTCAAAACATGAGGGCTGTGCAGAGTCAGATCCCTCCAGCTCTAAGCTGAGCTGTTCTTATGATTTAAAATATGAGGTCAGATCAAATGAGAGAAAGGGTTTGATGGCTGACAAATTCGTTATTACTGCAGACAAAGAACTGCCAACCCTACAGATGCAACAGGATCCCTTCTTTTAATAAAATAGCTCTTATTTTTAATGATAAAATACAGTGTACAAATAGAGGTTGAAAAGGTATGTGTGCCACAGCCATTCATGCATTCATTTGTGGCCCGCTGGGGAGGAAGCAGGAAGCAAAATGCTGCCTCGTCGAACTGCTGGTTTCCTTTTGGGTGGCTGCCTTTGAAAAATGGTCGTTACTGAGAGCAGAAAAAAGGGCACAGGCCTGCACAGTCGCTCAGACCTTTGAATGACTTCCAAGCTTGCCGTCTCATGGTCTGGAATGGGTCACCAGGCCTCCAGGCCTCTAACTGCAGTCAAATGCCAGGAAGCAGGGGGTAAACTCCCTAAATGATTATTCTCACTTTTGCTGTGGTTTCAGTCATCACGTTAGGTTTTGCCTTGACATGTTTCTTGTAACTTTTCCTTCTGCCTCTTCTAACAAAATTACTTTGGGAGTGTTAGGGAGTTAAGCAAGGGGTGGTCACCTCTATTGTGAAAATCTCATTTTCACGTAGTGACTGGAGGAGTAATCAGTTCAATCTCTCACTCGTGTCCAACTCTTTGCGACCCCATGGACAGCAGGACACCAGGCTTCCCTGTCCTTCACCATCTCCCAGAGATTGCTCAAACTCATGTCCATTGAGTCAGTGATGCCATCCAACCATCTCACCCTCTGTCGTCCCCTTGTCTTCCTGCCTCAGTTTTTCCCAGCATCAGGGTCTATTCTAATGAGTCAGTTTTTCACATCAAGTGGCCAAAGTATTGGAGCTTCAGCATCAGTCCTTCCAATGAATATTCAGGGCTGATTTCCTTTAGGATTGACTGTAATACCTCCTGTTATAATCACGTCTGAGGTGTTTGTATGGTGAACACCTGCAGAAATTGAAGTAAAATGAAATCACGGAAAAAAGTAAAAGAAAGAGTAGTGGAGATGCCGGGGATCGAACCCGGGGCCTCATACATGCAAAGCATGCGCTCTACCACTGAGCTACATCCCCCTCCCTCTTCAACATGGATTCTGAAATTCTCTGCTATAGTTTATTCTTCAGTTTTTTTTTCAAATATAATTTTGTATATTAAATGGTTTAAATGTATATTTGTTTAGCAAAAACCAACCAAAATAAATCTGGACTTGACTTTTAACTTTCAGAACTAGGCCTGTGGTTCATAGTTCTGCAGCCGAAATTCTGATACCGGAACCAAGGAACAAAGGGAGACAGACCTATTCGTGAATGTTGCGCCTCACAATCAGGAAAGAAGGAAAGGAAAATAAAGAGTTTCTTTCTAATGAATAAGGACTTTCCCCCACTGCAACCCCACCCAAAAATCTCTGGTTTCTTGTTCTTTACAATCATTCCAACTTTCGGTGACTTTGAGATTTGCAGACCATTATAAAAATGAACCTACAATGGAAAAGAATCTGAAAAATAATATATATATGTATGTATATCATATATGTATATCTATGTATAACTGAAAAAGAATATATATATGTATGACTGAATCACTTTGCTATACACTTGAAACTAACACAGCACTGTAAATTAACTGTACTTCAATGAAAATGGAATGTCTTTCAAGTCAACAAGTTGCCACTCACCTGTTGGGTGAGAGACAAGGAGAATACAGAAAACTTAGGCTTCACCTTTTCCCACCAGCACTTGAGATTTCCTGGCAGGAACACTTACTATGATGTGCAGAACGCACCTGAAAATACCCTGCTACCTCAATCCTCAACTGATCATCTCTCTTCCAGTCTGTGGATACCGGAAACTCTTCACAGTAAAGTCCAAATGAACTGGTGTCCAGGACACTGGACCCAGCAGCTGTGATTTCATTACCTTACCTCTTTGGGCCTCCTCTGTGAAATGGAGAGGTGAATAGTAACTACTTCATACAGTGATTGTGACCTTTGAATGAGTTACACAGAGAAGGTTGATCTTTTATTTTATTTTTTTCATTTTTATTTTTATTTTAGCTCCAGAAACAATTTGTATTGAGTTACAGCCAATTGACAATGTTGTGTTAGTTTCAGGTGAATAGTGAAGGGAGGCCTCCATACAGGTAACCATTCTCCCCCAAAGCTCCCTCCCATCCAGGCCAGCACATAACACTGAAGAGAGCTCCATGTGCTGTACAACAGACTTGTGATTGTTATCCATTTAAAATATATTAGTGTGTACATGACCTTCCCAAACTCCCTAACTATCCCTTCCCTGTGGCAACCATGAGTTCATTTTCTAAGTTTGAATCGCTTTCTGTTTTGTAAATAAGTTCATTTGTATCATTTCTTTTTATATTCCACATATAAGGGATGTTAAATGATATGTCTCCTTCACATAGAGAAGGTTTAGAACAGTGCCTGGTACAAGACCTGTGCTCTGAAATGCCAGTTCTCATTATTTAAAATGCTGTTATATGAGCTCCAGCGAAGACCTATTGCTTTGCATAATCACCCCATGTGTGGATTGATGCTTTGTTGATGCTGTTTGGCAAAACAGAAAGAACAGGAGGGCACTGGGGTGAGGTGCCGAATGGGGCTCTGTAGAAAGCCATCGTCTGACCTTATACCCCTGGCTCAAGGGGACAGACACAAGAGCGACCTTACCTGCAGGATGGACGAAGGATGGTGGCTTAGGTGGAGGTATTCTGGACCTGGCCTGGAAGCCAGTTAAAGGGTTGTAGTCAGTTCAGTAGGTGTCCCTGATTGCTCTGCTCCAGACACATCCTCTCTGTAAAACCTAGAATCAAATCCATACTCCTAACAGTGCCTTTAAGGCTCTCGGTGATCTGGCATCTCTGTGATCTGGAGTAAGGGCGTCCCTTACTCCCCTCCGCCTCTCTAGGAGAACTCTAGCCACACACCTGTCTTTGCTGTTCCTCAGGCAGACCAGACTCGCTGCACCTCAGGGCCTTTGCACTTGCCGTTCTCTCTGCATGGAAAGCAGATATACTCATGGTCATCTTTTTCTCACTGTCAGGGTCCTCAGAAAGGCCTTCCTGACTAATTCTCTGAAAGGATCCCTGGCTGTCCAGTCCTTAAGACTTTACCCTCCTACTTCAGGGGGGCTGGTTTGATCCCTGGTCGAGGAATAAGATGCCACCTGACGTGCTGGTGGCTAAAAAAAAATTTTTTTTAGGTTTTTAATAAAAAAATAAAGGCACCCATGAATCCTTTGCATTCACTTTGATTTGTTTTGTTTTTCTTCATAGCATATATCGGTCTCAGAACCTGTTTTTACACTGTTTATTGTCTGTGCCCCTGACTTGGTAGGTTCGTGAGAGCAGAGCCTCCTCGGTCTTGCTTTCTGCTCTATCTTCTGTGCCATGAACAGTGCCTGGCAGACAACTACTCAGTAAATGTTCATAGAATTAGTGTGAAAAAAAATAAATGAACAGACAAATAAATGAATGAAGACTAGGACCCTGGGGAGAATGATAGCTATATTCAAAAAGTTCAGTCTGCAAGTGAATAAAGACGAGAAAACAGTTCGGTTTAGAGTCACTCTGTTTCAAATGCATTAACATTTTCTGAAGGCCAACCTCTGGGCCGGCGCAAGACCTAAGAAGATGAAATACCACAGAGTGAGCATTTTCTCGTTTTAGAGGGAAACAGTTTTATTTTGGGAAACCATTATATAAACCAAACACTTGACAGCGGCGTTGTGGCATGCTGGAAATGGAAAATTCCACTTCAATGTGAGAACTTTTTCTTTCTTGTAACCAAGGGAAGAAGTGAGGGCGCTCGTGGGTGCCTGTGACCAAGCAGTGAATAAGACAATCGCCAGACCAAATCTCGCTTGCTTGCCAGGTTTACTTTCTTAGAGAAGAATAAGGAATTTTTATGAAAGTTGAAGAACTAGTTCGAAAGAGAAATGAAAATAAAATATAGAACAAAAAAAGAAAAAGAAAATACAATATAGGCGATAGAAAATAAGTCGCCTCCCCGTCGGGGAATCGAACCCCGGTCTCCCGCGTGACAGGCGGGGATACTCACCACTATACTAACGAGGATTAGCCCTGCCAGCGGCTTTTCAGCTCAGCTCTTAAAGGTATACTCAGTGTTCCTCAGCGTTCCTCAACCAGTGACGTGTTCTAAAAGGTTAAATATCTCATCATTTCCTACAAAATATAAAAAGGAGAAGTTCCACTTCATTTAATTCCGTCTTAAAGAATCCGCTTCCTCCTCGACCCATGATTTAGTCGCGAGGGTTCTGAGAACAGAAATTAATAAGCAGCAAAAAATAACCAACAGACGTCAACAAACGTCTAACAGAGGTAGTTTATGAAATGAAAGAAATGGAGTCAAGTAATTCTTCGACTTGTCGGATTTTTCCAGTCGGGGAAGTGCGAGGAAGTTCCCACACCGTCTGGCTTCCCTTTGATACTACTCGAAGCTGTTTTAAACAAAGAAAATGAAATCCCTTTAATCATTCGAAAGAATCATCTTGCTTTCCTCCGACACAAGTGGAAAGGGGGGAGGGGAAAAAAAAAAACACTGCTGCCGAAACCCGGGATCGAACCAGGGACCTTTAGATCTTCAGTCTAACGCTCTCCCAACTGAGCTATTTCGGCTACTCTTGGCGCTGGGTTGCATTTCTTTCCCCCTCGTGATCTAAGGGACCCGCGTCATAGACCAGAGGATTCCTTGCTGGGGGATCTGGATCAGCTGGAATGCACGCCTTCCAGGATTGCCCCGCACCTGCCCCTTCTCGTCCTTCAAGGTGGTCGCCTCCGAAAAGCTTTCCCTGATCACGCCTCCCACCACTACCCCAGCCCTGTATTGTTTACTATTAGCCTAGGTACTGTTTTCCTTGTCCATCATCTGTTGCCTCCCTTCCCCAGCTAGAATGACAGATCCACGACGGGCAGAGAAGTCATCAGCCTCGGTTACTGCTGTATCGTTTAAGGCCGACAACAGTGCCTGGCACTTAATAGGTCCTTAAAAATACTAGTTGAATCTTACCTTGCTCAGAGTTCCGCTTTCTCAGGATCTCTTCTCTGAGCAAAAGAGCAAGGTGTCCTCTTGGGTGCAGCTCCCGGAGCAGCCCAAGGCATGGCAAGCAGCCCATGGCTGACCACCCAAGGCGTGTGGGAGGCGCTATGGGCCAGACTGTGGCTTCCTCGCGGTACTAAGTGGCTCAAATCCAGACTCCAAGCACAGCCACCTCACCCGGGACACCTGCTCAGCTTCAAGGCACCAAGAAATCAACAGGTCGGCATCCAGGTTCGGCTCTCTCTGCTTCCCTGCCCTTTGGGAGGTGGGTGGGTGGGGAGCACTGTTTGGGAGAGGTTGAGCAAGTGGGGAGGTCCTTCATGATGTGAAGTCATTTAATAAGTGTTTGCGAAGCACTTAATGTCTATGTGATCCAGTGACAAATACAATAACAAAATAGTTCCTTGTGATAGGAATGCTAAGAAGCAAAATAAATGGTAGTGAGGGGGTGGAATACCTGGTTATGGGGGCAGTAAGAGGAAGGGAGTGCCGGGAAGCCTTGGAGAATGAAGAGCCCGCTGAGGAAGAGCCTCTGGGGTAGACGCTACAGCTGATGCAAAGGCCCTGGGGCTGAAAGAGCCGGGCTATTTGTAGGGATGGAAAGGAAGCCGGTGCGGAAGAGGCAAAGAGGGTGAGCGGGCAGAAGGTAGGAGGCAAGAAGAAAAAGGTGAACAGAGGCCAGGTCTTGCCCGCCTTGAAGGTCTTGGTAAAGGGTTTGTACTTTCTTCTGTGTGGGAAAGCCTCTGGGGAGAGAGTGATATTATTTCCATCTTACAGTCTCCCTTGGCTTCCTTGTGGAGAATGGACAGGAGGGACTCAAGTGGCAGCAAGGAGACCAGTGAGATGCTGACAGCTCAAAATAAACAATACACCAAAACAGCATCTCCAGAATTCCTTCAGGAGAGAGGGGATATGGCCGGAGACCCCTACTGCTGCTTTTCACGAAAGCACAGTAGTGTATCAATTTGATAAAAATCGAGTACGGAAGAAAGGAAAGAAGGAAGGAAGGGAAGGAGAGTGAAAAAATTCACAGTCCACGGAAGTACAGAATTTTGGAAAGGCAGAGTCACTCCCACCCTATCCCAGTATTCCCCAGAAGTAACCAGTGTCTAGACCAGATTGTGATTTATGTGACCTTAGACAAGTTATTGGACCCTTTCTCTGTGCCTGCATTTCATCTGTTTAATATCTTAAACTGACCCCCACCAGACTTGCTGTGAGGACTAAATGAGTGCACACCTGCTAAGCGCTTCTGCATACTACCCTGTATATGACAGGAGCTATATAATGTGTTGTCATTAACTGTGATCAGAAATGTAACTGACTAAGACGACATTGCTAACCAACTATATTTCAATATAAGATTTTGTTAAAATTTTATCCAGATTTATTAAGATACAATTATTTAACATTGCGTAAGTTTGTTGTGTACAATGTGATTAGAAACATTTATATAGTCTGAAAT